AACAAAATAAACTACTAGAGGTCAAGAAAGCAAAGCCCACAGAAGGCCTTGCATTTGTCTCTCCCGGTGTGCGGAAGAAATCCTTAACACCAGGCACATTTCAAACCCCAGCTCTGGCTGAGAATTTAGCTTTGTTACTTTACACACATCTCCTTCTGGCTTCTCATGTATATTGGCTGGAAACTTCATAAAATTAAAAGTCGTTGCATAATTTCTTCTCTTTAGAAACATTCCAGTTCTTTTTTTACTCTGTCGAATTCAGCAACAAGGAGAACAAAAACTCAGTGAAATGCATGGAAACACTGAGACAGCAAACGCCCCTCTGTGGGGTGCAGGGCACGCTGGACTTCTATATGCGCAGGCTTATGGAGTGTGAATTGCTGAGGTGGACCTAGACCATGAAACAGAAGCAGAGGTTCTTTCCCTCACAGTCTAGGCACAAACAGAACACAGGCTCAGTCTTCCGAAGTTAGAAAAATGGCAGAATGTGTATCTTTACAGTGAAGGAGGGGAGGGGTAACAGAGGGAATATATAGAATTTCAGAGGATATTTCTTCATTTAAATTTAAAATGTCAATGCCCAAAATAAGCATTTTTTTCTTATTTTGATCGAAGTTTCTCAGTCTCAGCACTATTGACATTGTGGACCAGATAATTCTCTTTGTGAGGGGTTTGTCCTGGGCATGACAGGACATTTAGCAGCATCCTTGGCTTTTACCCAATAGATCAGGGGTCCTCAAACTTTTTAAACAGGGGGCCAAGTTCACTGTTCCTCAGACCGTTGGAGGGCAGGACTATAGTTTTAAAAAAACTATGAACAAATTCCTATGCACACTGTACATATCTTATTTTGAAGTAAAAAGAACAAACAGGCAAAAACACCCGCACGTGGCCCACGGGCCTTAGTTTGAGGACACCTGCAATAGATGGTAGTAGTAACTCTCCCATTCCTGCCCACCCCACACACACCATTGACAAATGTCCTCTAGGAACAAAACTGCCCCTGGTTGAGAACTACTGTTTCAGATCATTTATGCCTCCCCTCCCCCAAGCATTGTGCATATAGCTGAGAACCTCTACAATACTACCCTGCTCCCAAAAGGCTTAGAGCTACCATATGGGACTTCCAAAGAGGATCTGGGGTAAGTCACTGGTCCCTCACTTTGCTTCAGAGATCTTGGACTGCAGGTAGTTGAGCTATAACCCCAATCTTTTTTTGACCTAAGAAAATGCATCAAGTTATTTCATCTCACAAAATATCTGCCACTAATGGTGGGTAATTAGACAAATCACTTTCTGGCTCAACTTGCCCAAATTCCGAGAGATTTTTTAGTCAATACAAGATTTTGCTAGAGCTGCTGAGTACCCAGTTTGGAAAACCTGTCAAATTACTCACTGGTTTATGGTCCTGTCTCAGGTTCTTTTCTGGCCTTCATTTATTGCCAGAAGTAATAAGTTACCGATATTCATTGGCTGTGCCCTTAGCACCTAATTCTAGGAAATACTGTACCAATGATATTCATCGGAAAAATATATAAATATTTATAAGGAACTTAGCTAATTAACTTGAACAAGTAAACAAACCATTTGTATTTCTATTTTCTTCTCCCTTCTAAACTTACTCCCTTGGCAAACTCTTATAACTGTCACCGCTAACTAGAGGCCTCACAAATCTATTTCTAGAGCCAACATTTTCCCCAGGTTGCATCTCTAATTTCATTTTCTAAACATCACAAATGAATATATGCAATTTCATGAAAATCACATCGACCTCACCAAGTCTCTGCTATGGTAAGCAGCTAAACACTTCTTACTCTAAAATTCTTAATTACCCCTGCAGACATCCCCATCAAAATGTAAAATCTATTTCTGCACTCCTTAAATATGGGGTATGGAGTGACCATTAACCTGAACTGACCAATGGGACATCACAAAAACAAACAAACAAAACCAAAAAACATGTGGGGTTTGAGTTTCCTAATTCTCCCTGCCACTGAAATCCCACATATAACCTGGTCTGCTAGAAAATAAGAGACCCTGTAGAGAGAGGTGCCAGTCTTCTTAGGTGGATCTGATGAAGCTATGTTAACACATTGATAGCCATACTGGAAAAAAAATTTTTCCTTGGGTCACAGTGTTTTATTATGAAAATAGAAAAACACTTTGAAAGTAAAACAATCCTTTCTAATTTAATGAGAAAATTTTTTAATGTTTTCTGTGGGTGAGTTATATGCAATTTGAAAAATAGTTCTCACAGTGCCCAAGGTGAAGAGACGTGTGAGTTACATGTGCTTCACGAGGCCCCAGGTTCAAAAGGAGGGTGAGTTAAATACAACTCACATGGCAGTTAATGTGTTAAGTCAGCCAGCCCAGGTACTCACCAACTGACCAAAGACATAGAGCAATCCAGCTGAGACCAGCAAAAGAACAGCACAGCTGAGCCCAGCCCAAACTGCCTATCACATTTTGGGGTGATTTCAGATACAAGAGGCACTGTCCCAACTATATTTGTTTTTAAATATGAGCTTGCTTTATTGTATCGAGTGAATTCTAGGAGACTCAGCTGTGTTTACAAAGCAATCCAATTTAGTTGTCGAGATGAAATCTAGTCATTCCAGCCCCTATGAAGAGCAAACCGGATTGGTCAGTTATATTTTGATTATTGCTTGGTGACAACACTTCACGATTAAGATGAGAAAAAGAAAAGGAACTACTGTGGAAAGGCCAAGTCAATACTATAAATATGAAGCCTCAGTATGAAGACCAGCAAGTGGAGGACCTACACCCAAAAGTTGAGTGGAAGAGATTTTTTTGTTCCATTATATAAGTAGTTCATGTTTTAGAAATAGACTCCCAAAATTGCAATAGAATACAAAATATATGTTCTCATAGAAACAAAGATATGAGTTATGATTAGGTGCTCAGAGCAGCCTACAGATGGCTGTTTAATTCAGACAGAAATGAAATGTTCTGTATTTGCAATGAATAAAATGGAAAATAATAGAAAAAAATAAAATTCTTAATTATGCTACCATTAAAATTATATTAAATACTTAAAGGAATATGTACTGCCATGTGGAAAATGTTTATGATTTAAAATTAAATGAAAAGCAAGAAATAAAATCCAACGTACACAACAAATTGATAGGATTAGAAATGAATATACAAGACTAGTCATTTACAATTAACTTTTTCTCTTTTGAAATGCTCATAATATTAAATTACTGGTATTTCCTTAGTCTTTTAAAATATTAACATTCTTTGAAATCTCACAATATGAACTTAGTATCTCTCTCCAAAGTTAGGCACTTAAGACCCAATCATTCAACCAGAAACTCTGGCTGCAAGTCCTGCAGTCAGCATGGATTTTCCCTTTCCCACCCACTCACTGCCTACGCCACTGCCAGGCACCAGCTGCTCCTGATTCTCTTTCTCCGACGCATCAGCTCTGTGCACTGAGCCGTTTTTTCTGCATTCAGCCACAATGGCCCTTCCTACCGCCACCAGCCTAGATTAGACCTCCTGCTATTTCACAGTGTCACTGACTTGGCTCTGCTGATTCCCAGATTATCCTGCAAAGCCCTCCTCCCTCCCTCGACCTTCAATGTCTCACTCCCAGCTCTGCATATATCACTTTCCTGCTTACCCTGACCAGGCCCTCTAGAATCTCCTTCAACCTCCCCTCCAGGCTCATTGCCCACTGTTCTTTACTAATCCTGGTTCATATGCCATGCTTTTCCAGCTGCAGGACTTTTCTTCTCTACCAAGAATGACCTCTCTCCCCAAATAGTTGTCTGAATCTCATTCACTTTCCAAAGTCCAACTCCTTGAAATGGTGTATCCCCTCCTTGAAATGGTGCTCTCCCCTATTGAACGTGGTTTCTCCTTCTGAATGTTCCCATTGAACTTTTCTTCTGCTACAACATATACAGCGGCCTTGAATTGTGGTTACTATGTACCTCTTTATCTCTTCCCCACTAGATTATAAGCCCTTGTCTCTGAATGCTTGGCTTTTTATTCCTACATAGGTTTATACATTGTTGGTAACAAAAATAGATTCCCTGAATAAAACAATGAAAATAAAGTCTAAAAAACAAATTTGAAAGTTCAATGAGTTTTTTCTTCTAGGATAACCTGCAACAAGCTCATTTTGACTTAATCTCACAGCTTGAGTTTTAAGAAGTCAGATTTCAGTGATGTGCTCCAGTTAGTGCCTTCACTCCTTCCTTTTCTCTTTCCCTCCCAGACTCTCCCCAGAATGGGAGCCTATTCTTGCACAGTCTCTGCCCACATAAACATGGGCTTTTGATAATTTTACAGTTGATGCTTATTAGAATTGACCAAGCAAGCCCCTCAAGACAGAGTTTTTAAAGGGCTAAAGCCAACTTGATTCTCTGTATGTGAAACATTAATTATAAAGCTCTTCTAGAATATCCAAATCATATGAACTCCACCTAGTAGAATGGAACAGAAACTTACAGCCTCAGCTAAATAATAGGTGTTTTCTCTAGGTTGTGGAATCATAGCCAACGGTTAAGACCCTAAATATATCTAGGTGGCTAACTGATATATGATATTTTATAAAATTCTGTGTTTAAGCTATTAATAGATATCTATAATTCAACAATAGTAAATATGAGGTCCTTCTTTAGGAGTCAGAATATATGTGAAGACACATACTCTTCTCTTCCATTACTATAGAAGAAAATTACCCTGCGTTAGGCTCTGTGGGGAGGGAATTATAGATTAAAAAGAGATTAGAAGAAGAAACTCAAAGTGATAGTATTCCTAATGTTCTGGTTCACAATTTGAGTGAGTTGTGAGGTGTTCATTTTATTATGCTACATATATTCTTTTCTAATAAGAATATGCTATACATATTCCTTTTTAATAACAAAAATGGAAGCTAACATTGACCCCTGCCATGAATGGTTCTAAGAACTCTTTTATTTTTACTAATTTAAGACTTACTGCCACCCTAGGAGGTATGCCTCAATATTGTTCACATTTTACAGATCATTAAGTTGAAGCACAAATACAGTAATTTCCCTAGGTCATCAGGCATTCTAGTTTCAGAAGCTGTGCTCTTACCATTCTGCTACCAAATATTTTAAAAAGAAGAAAAAGTAACAAGAAAACAGCAGAGTCCATCGATTATTTCATAGGACAGTCACACCATGCCATTCTTCCACTCTTGCAGACACACCTGGCCATTCAAGCTTCCTCAACGAATACCTATCTATTATAAGGGATATCCATGCTCTCATTATGCTTTATTATCTTCCAGAAGTCCTAGTATTCACATAGGGAGTTGAGTTAACTGCAAGGTCAAAGTCTGGAAAGTTGTCTTCTCCACCTATCCAAAACCACACATCCAAAGACCATATCGACTCTCAGTCTGCTATAAAAAAATACAAATGGTTGAAAAAGTAATTCTGCTACCAATGACTGCTTAAGTCCAGCCAAGTAACTGAACCACTCCTATCTCAATTTACTTATGAAAGGGATATAATGATGTAGGAGGTTACCTCATTCTAAAATACAAATCCATGTTATCTTTCTCATTTTTGAACTCACACTGATTATTATCTATCATCTCAATTTAGTTTCTTTTGTTTGTTGCTTATCCTAGTGGACTACCAAAAAATTCTACATCTCTCCTTCTCCTCTCCATTAGTCAATAACTAAATTAAGAGCCAATTAGCATGTGCCAGATGCTCTCCTCGGCACCAAAGGGATAAAAACAATTCTTGTATCATTAGTTTTCCCTTACTAACTAGTGAAATTCTCCAGTCAGGTCTGAGTCAAGAGTTGAGGAGTAACTAGTTGGAGGGATGACAGTGTGCAGTTTCCCCAAACAGGCCATTGCAGGGAACCCTTTGAGTCTCAGCTGACCTCATACACCGCTGCACACACTGTCATCCCTTCCCTCTGAGAAAAGTGAAGCAAGAGCAGGAGGTGGCAGAGGGAATGATGCGTCAGGTGCCCTGGCTGGGGGAAGGCAAGACAGACTATGATTCTCACGTGATAAGTGGCCTGGTGACTGCCACTTATCACTCAGCACCACGTCCTGCTTTTTCAAGAACAGAACTCTGGGCACAGGGCTGCCCAAGATGAAGATTACAATGGAGCGTTGCCACATGACCACGTTCTGGCCAAGGGGATGTGCACAGAGACATCCTCCCTCCCCTGCCTCCTGCTGGGTGGCTGGCTGGGGACGGGAAGTCTATGTACCATTAGGTGGAGAAACAAGATCTGAGATGTGAGGGTCTCTGGTAATGTGGTGCAGCCGATACTGGCCTAAGTTTATGTGAAAGAAAAATAAAATTCTTGCCTTGTTTCAGCTAAAGTGAATCCCTCCAACCCACCCCCCTGCCCTTGCCTACCTGATTCCTACTTATGCTTTAGATCTTCTTCCCTTGAAAGGTCACTTCTTCAGGACATCCTTCTCTGTCCTCCTTTTTATCTGCCCTCTCTCAGGCTCTATTATAGACACTCTTCTAGCCCCCTAGGTCATTGCTACAGCATTTATCACAATTCATGTGTACAGTGGTCCCCATTATCCCTGGGGACACATTCCAAGACCCCAGTGGATGCCTGAAACCAAATAGTAGTGAATCCTTATATCTCTAAAGTTTTTTCCTAAACATACATACCTATGTGTCTTAGTTCATTTTATGTTGTTATAAAGGGATACTATACCTGAGGCTGGGTAATTTATAAAGGAAAAAGGTTTATTTACCTCGAGATTCTGATAAGTTCGACTACTATCTACATCTGCTGAAGGCATCAGGCTGCTTCCATTCATGGTAGAAGGGGAAGGGGAGCTTGTGCAGAGATCACATAGCCAGAGAGGAGGAAGGGGGGGAGGTGCCAGGCTCTTTTTAACAACCAGTTCTTGAGGGAACTAACAGAGCAAGAACTCATCCCCAAGGGAGGCCATTAATCTATTCATGAGGGATTTGCCCCCATGACTCAAACACCTCCCATTAGCCCCTACCTCCAAAATTGGAGACCAAATGTCAACATGAAATTTGGAGGGAACAAATATCTAAAACATAGCACTGTGATAAAGTTTAATTTATAAATTAGGCATAGTAAGAGACTAACAACAATAAAATAAAAAAACATAGCAATGTACTGTAATAATAAAAGTTGTGTGAATGTAGTCTATCTTATTGCATGTAATATTTTTGAACAATCTTTGACCATATGCAATTGAAACCATGGAAAATGAAACTGTGGATTTGGGGCAGGAAGACCTAGTGTATTTATGTATTTCATTGATTTCTGTCTCCATCACTAGCCTCCAAACAAAGATTGTGTTTTTGTTTGGTTTTGGTTTTTTCACTACAGGCTCTTCTGTGTTTAGCATGTTTCTGGCGCACAGAAAGCAATCAAATATTTGCTGAGTCAAATGACTGGAAAAAAAAAAAATCAAAGGATCTTCCCACTCTACTTGGAACTCTAGAACATTCACAGTAAGTCCTATGGGCCTCTGCATTTATGCTTGCTTAAATAAGATCATGGGGGATAAGTGTTAAAATACTTAATAGAATGGTTCTCAAATATATTCAAATGATGTTATTGCACTTGGAAATCATAGTGCTTTAGAAAAAAATATGTAGGTAATATGAAAATCTCTTCATCTCAACAAACAATATGTAAACTATTTAAAGGAGTATCACATCTAAGTTTTCAATGTTTGTTCTTTACTTTTTCATATGTTTTTATCCTCTGCCTAAGGCAGTCATACCAAAGGGTCAAGAAATATGGAACAAAAGCTTAGTAAGAATTATATTAAAGTGTATGCAAAGCAGAAAAAGATTATCATCACTCACTTGACCTAAGCAGCAGAGAGAAGGGTGGTGTGAGAACCATTTACTTAGCAGAACCACATATTTGAGATACTTCCTTGCATTACCCCCACAAATGGTGTATTTGTAAGCTTGTTAGGTCAATCTCCAACAACAATACATTTTGGAATTAAATATTTTTCATCAAACATTGGATTTTTCCTTAATACTAGAGAATGCAGCAGGTGTTCTAAAGTATATCAGTGGCTTCAGGCTAAGAAGGGATTTCTCCCTGTTATGAGAAACGAGACAAATTAGCCCTTTTAGCCTCAAATTTCACTAATGATCATTCTTTCAATAAGGCATTCTAGAACACCAAATGTGCAGACTTAAGAACATCAATACTAACCATTCAGATAAATTCCCAAAATATGAGACTCTGCCATTAAAACATTATGGAGAGGGGATTTAAAAATGGTCTTTCCATTTGGCCTGTTTCTTGCTCCCAGACCAAGGCACTGACTGTAGTACTGATACATAACCTAAAAGCACACTCTCCTCTACTTGGTAATACCAGAGTTCTAAGTGGACAGCGTGAAGCTTAGGACTGTCAGCCATACAAACAGTAAATTCCTTGTCTCTGATTCAGTCACCTATGTATTTTCTGTAGACATTTGTTAGACTTTTTTATATAAAAATACCTCAACAATAAATGACATTCTCTTTCCCTTTCCCCACCTCCCTCCTTCCCTCCCTCTCCCTCTCTCTCTCCCACACACACACACACACACACACACACACACACACACACACACACACACAGAGCCATTAGCTCATTTGGTGGGAAAGAGACCTTATTATTTGATTCTGGCTCATAGAAATCGCAAGGGGAGAGCATTACCATGGGAAGACACAGAAAACACACAGGACTCTGAGCCACTCCTAGCTTTGCCCCTCATTAGCTTGTAACTTAACTTTTCAATTTGATCATCTATACAACGGGATAGCAATAACTACCACCTATCTTTCAGGATAGGCTCAGAAGGGCAGCTAACCACTGTTTAAGAGCACAGGTTTGGCCTCATGCTGAATTATGCTTCAAATACTGGCCCGATCATTTCACTAGCTATGTGGCCTTAGTATAAATGCACTTACCAGAGTGTCTGATGCATAATAAATGTTAAAAATGACCAGTCCCTGTCATTTCTCCTTTGAAAATTGTAAAGCACTCCACCAATCCTCACTTCTTTTATCTAAAGATGCACATAAAACAAGACATCCAAAAATAGAATCCTCATCAAATGCTTTCTCAGTGTCCAGTACTATAGCCTTCCTTATTGCCAAAGCCAGCCTGCCCTCCCCAGACAGGATGCTCACATCTCCCACGTGCTCACAGAGGCAGCCAGCCATAATCCCTTTCAGTCTTTGAAGACTCAGCCAGCTGTAGCTGTTAATAACCTCATACAGGTTATCCATCAGAAAGAGGGGGAAAAGTCCTAATTACTCTAGTCAGGGATGTCATTAGTTATGTACATGGCTCCTATAACATCTGCCTGGCATTTATGCAAATGGCACACACCACGGGAAAATGTTACCAAGGCAGACAAGTATTTAACCTAAATATTCAATAGCTCCCTACCACCTACTAATCCATTTCAAAGCTAATCTATAGTCAGGGAAACCTTTCTGATTCTCTATAGTTCTGACAGTTTATTTGCTCAAGCTATAAAATTTTTATTTGGATTCCATAGTCATTTCAATAAATCAAAGTTGTCTTTTCTCCCCCTCCTATTAAATAGTAAAGCCAGGTAGAATAGCTTCTGGGCTAAGTGATTCCACCTGATTCCTATTTAATTTGTCAGAAGCAAGCATCACTGATTTTTTTTTTAACCCTATGACTGAAAAGTCTAGGGCCTTCTTTCTAAATGTGAAAAACACCACTGGAATATTGGGTTTCATTATTAGCTAGTTTCTATTTAATCTCAGGGAAATCTCTAAAAGAGGAAACCATATTATTTTCTCTCCAAGAATTTAATACAACTGATACATTCTCTTAAGAGTGTGATATGGTTCAATTTCTCGTGTTTATAAGCACTAACCAATTTGCAAATACCAATGCAATACCAATTTGCAAATAAAATTCAGATATAACTTTAAAAATAATACCTAGGATCTGTTATAAAAAATGTGCTATGCTGTGGTTAGACAGACATAAATAAAAATTGCATGGTATACAGCTTTATTATACCCCCAGACCAACATTTGAAAATGTCTACCATATCTTGTTATAAAACATTTTCTGTGCCTACAAAATACTTATATAAAATGATGGGAAGATTTTTATAGGAAATATCTAGTTTAAATAATTTATCATCAGGATGAGTCATGTAGAAGTACCAAGACTAAATTAACACACCCTTCATATGTAATGGAAATCCAATCTTTTCCCTGAGGACTCATCCAATTCTCTCTCTGTCTTTTTTTAAAGGTAATTTTTGGGAGAATATGGTAAAAAGCATTTTAATATAGTAATGATATTCTCAAAAC